AACAGAAGGTGATTCAGAGAACTACACCTGTGCTGATCCAGTAGCCAAACTAATGTTTGTGTGTTTTTTTTTTTTTTAAATATATAATTGCGACTAAAATTCAGTATGGTAAAACTGAAGGATTTTTGTAATGATTACTTTTAAGGGGCATTGTTCTAATATAGAAGAGTTTTGCAATCTGTTCCTGTGCGTGGAAGCGAGTAAGCAGAGCTGTCGAGACCGCTCAGCGCTGCTTCAGAGGGTGCAACCGCAGATAAACGATCAGTTCCCTGAGAAGCTGAGGGAGGAGTGCTGGAGACGGTTTAGCGATGTAACTTGTGCGTTAATTCCTTTGGGATTTTTGAAGTGCATGTTTTATTGTAGGTGTGCTAGTATCTGAGCTCTGCGCAAACCCGGACGCGTGGAGGGAGACCGGGGAGCAGCTCCAGAGCGTTCCTGGTTTACCACTTGGCTTTGCAAGTGCCAGCAAGAGCCTGTCAGGCTGCTTGGGTCAGCTTTGATTCAAACCAGGCAATTGCCTAGGACGGCGAGGTTGGGAAGCTGCAATATTGATCAGACTATCTTCCTGGCAACCTGGTTCATGGCAGCAGCGTGGGGATCAGGGTAAATGGAGTATTAGGGCTATAGAAAAAGAACAAAAGGAAGGTTACCGCTGGCCCTTCTTGGCAGCAATAGCTGGATGCCTTTTAAAAACAGCTGCTGTTGTCATGGAGCTTCTGAATCCAAGGCCGGTTTCTGGCACTGTGATTTTCTCATGGCAGAAAACGTTGTCCTGTCCTAGCCTTGGAGAAAAAGAAATAAAAAAATAAAGGCAATAGCCTTGGCAGCACTTGTCCGTTACTGCAGCTGAACTGCAGTGGGAACTGAACCGGGGGAAAACCTGTTCTTCACTGAGGTCTGGGTTTTTTTTTTTTTTTTTAAAACTGACATCCGTTGTAGCCTGCAAAATCTCTTTTATAAGAAGGCATTTGACATTTGGTAAAGATTTTCAGTAGTTTATATAGACCCTTGCTTTCATTTGAGTCAGCTGTGTTCTGAGCTCTAAATACAGACCTGAATTCCTAATCTCAAGGTTTTTGGAAGGTCTTCCAGAAGTGGTTTGTTTGTTTTTTAAGGCCTGTTTTCCTCTCCTGAACTTCAGATACAGTCAAACAGTTCTACACACTTATTTATCCTTTCCTAAAGTAATCATAATGTTATGTAGAAGATAAGGTATTTATTTGGCTTTGGTTTTGTTAGTTTAGCATTATAGTGCTTTCCTGGGTTTGTTGTTGTTTTAAAAGATGTTTTGAGTAGAAATATTTGTTTGGCTTCATGGACAAAAAGTATACTCCACTTTCTGATCGCTTCTTCTTGCCTAATTCCAGAGACTGAACTTTAAAAACTTCCTTGGTTTTGCTTTTGCTTGGTGGACTTCCCGAAGCTTAGAAACAAGCC